ACACACGGGTACCTCAACTTGCTTGCTGAAAAAAATGGCATAGCATTATGAAAAAAAGGCCCCAAACTTAATAAAAAGAAAATTTTATTGTCAAATTTTTTGTTATTATTAAGAGGAAAGACCAAAGTATTTTTTATTATTTTATTAAATTTTTTAATCTTTTCTAGCACATTCAAAATATTGGTTAAAAATCTTTTCTTTTTTTACGTCAACAGCCGATGTAATATTTACACTTAGTGTATTTGATATGCCACCCCCAATAAAAAATACATTGATTTGGAAATTCTTTCAAGGCTTATTCACAAATGAATGAAATTAATTTTTGAATTTTTTTTTTTTTTAAATCTCAGTAAAAAATTTTTTTTTTTTTTTTTTTTTACATATGTTAACCTCCACTTAATTTCATGAAATTTTGGGAAATTAAATTACAATGTCAAAATTTGTTTTATTAGTTAAAAGCAAAACTCCTTGGGGAATATAAATCATTTTTTTTTCTCTTGATGAATAATGAATTTTTACAAGAATTGTTTACATTTTTTAAAATTGTACATTACTTCAATCCAGTTAGGTGATATTATTAAGTGAAAACTATATTTATGAATCAAAAATTGAAGAGCTCAATAAAAGTTGTTTACACTTAATGTTTTTTTTTTAAATTTTAATTTTTTTTATGTATATAAAATATATAACTTGCCCTTGTTCAAATATCAACAATATACGACATAATCAGAAAATAAGAGCGATGACTATAGTAGATTTAAATTCAACATTCCTAAAATTAGATTACCTAGAATATTTTCCAACATTTTTAAGATTACTGAGTACTTAAAAATTATATAAAACAGGAGCTCACTTGTCATATAATGTCTCTGTAGAACAGTAAAGGTGTTGACAGATTTTATCACTTGTTAAGTGATCTATGAGTGATAAGCATGAAATCACTGCTACCATTTGTTTTAAAAATTCATTTCTCTATTATTTTAAACTTAAAGCAAAGAATATTTTTTTCAAATCAGGTTAATTGAACTTTAAATCAGCTAATAGTCCTCAAATAGTTTCAGAAAAGTATATTTTTGAAAGATTTTTAAAACCAAGAATTAACTTTTGTTTACAAATGTGTCAAAAATAGCCGATTTTGTGAAAGCAACCAAATAGTTGAGATTCCATTCCATATAATTTTTACTTAAAATATATCAGAGTATTTTGTTTACTGAAAATAGTAAATTTAATCATTTAGCTTTCAATGAAAGTTTAAAGAATGCATTTTCATTTTAAACCTTAGGTATCAAAAATTCAATGGAGGTGCCTATATATATATATATATGTGTGTGTGTGTGTGTGTTTATTCTATCGTATATATTATATGCATGGTACTTAGGTAACATATTTGGTTGGATTGATGTGAATTTGTGACCTTCGGTTTCACGCTTTTGCAATCATGACAATCGCAACCCACGATCACAAACTCACATCAATCCAACTATATATATGAGAGAGCAAGATCATAAATACATTTTTAATATTAATGGTTAATTCTATTTAAAGAGAAAACAAAAAGAACACAAGGAGCTACTGTAATAATACATGCTATTAATGTAATTGTTCTTTTTGTAGGATGTTCTTGTAACAGTTTATGAAAATGGTACATTGCTGAAAGACTACACGTTTGAGGAAGTTCGGAAGACTGCTGAAATCAAACTTTTATGCTGACAAAAATGTGGAAAGCAGTGAAGAGAAATGGTGACCACTGCCTGATGCTTTTAGGGACCATATGTGTGTGTGTGTAGCATGGAGAGACTATGGTTTTTTGTTCTTCCAAGAGAAAAAAAAGAAATATATTTCAACTTTGTGTGATATTTTCTTTGTTCTATCCAAAATCAGCAATGATTGTTGAATTCATAAGCACAGAAATTATGGAATGCAGTGCATCATTTAAAGATGCAAGTGACAATTTGACAAACCTTTTTACATTTGGCCCTTTGTATCTGCAGATTCAACCAATCAAAAATATTAACCAAAAAAAACAAAAAAAAAACAGAATTCTAAAAAAGCAAAATTTATATTTGCCATATACAAAATACTATGTTGAATTCACACAAGTGTGAAGGGTTCCTCTTCCATAGCTTCCTGCTATATTACAGATTCTCAACCACTTTAATACTCATTGTTTAGTCAGTTCCCTTTTGCATCTTTCTTTGTTCAATCTTTGTATTGTATCTTTTAATTTGGGTTTCTCTGAAATTTGGAATGGAGATGGCTAGAAAAAAGTTTTATTAAAAAAAAGAAAAAAATTTCTCCCTAAGAATTTTAAAAAAATGATTATTATTACTAGTATTTCTTGTTTTGTAGCATACACTAATTTTTTATATCAGAATTCTCTCTAGTCTTTCTCTGCACAAATAACACAAAAATTTTTATGATGAAATTTAATCTTATACAAATTAGGGTTTTTAACTTCAACTGATATTTTTTTTGTTCATATCTCCAGTGTAACTTCAGTTACTGTTTGAGGTTGGATATAATGGCAATGTGTAAATTGTTTAATTTTACATAAAATTAATATTAGTATTTTTAACATTGTAAAATCTATTAAAATATATAATCCATCTAAATTGGTTGTAACATTCCAATTTATTAAACAAATGTCATTGGCCTATTGCTTTAATGTGCTATATCACAAATTCTAGGTTTATAGGGTGGGGTCTAGAATCACTCTCCACTTTAAAACTTTGAGCACTTCCCTCTTGCAACTGAAGGTGGAAGGGCCTGTAACATTGTGGTAAACTTCCAAATCTCCATTTGGGAAATCAAGCTATAATATAGTGATAATAGAAGGAAATGTGTTATAGGAGTAAAAAAAAAAAAAAAGTTTACTCAATAAAGTTTAAACAAAATTAATTACAGCTAGAAATAGAAATCATTTACAGTGAAAATGAGTGCAGGTTTTAGTTCATCAAAAAAAAAAAAAAAAAAAGTTACCTCAATATTTTCATGCCATTTTTAAAAATAAAAACAAAGTGGGAGTAGGTAAGATTTTTTTTATATTCTTGGCACATCCTTGTGAAAAATAGTTAAGCACCTTCCACCCTCTTCTTTTCCTTCACACATAATAGTCTAAGACCTTAACAAATCTGTTATTTGTGCTGATTTGGAAGAAGTGTTTCAGGCTAAGAACTTTTCAGCACCTTGTACATTTATCTTAATCTTAATGCTTTATTTAAAAAAACAAACTTTTGACAGATTACCCTCACTGTTGAAATGGATTCATTCGTAGTCGGCTATATATCACGATCAGAAAGAATGACTTACATCTTTATGGGATTACTTTTATTATTTCTAAATACAAATTGAAGGATTCTTAACTTGTTCTTTTATAAACTCTTCAAGTGATACAATTGGTGATGTAATTAGTACTGAAAATAGAGCTTGAGGGCAGAGTTCATATTAATCAACTTTGAATTGGAAGCCACAACACTATCTTTCCAATCAAGGCAATTCACAATTGCTATACTAAAGTTGTAAGCTATTGTTACCCACGTCCAGAAAGAATTTTTTTTATTTTTTATTTTATTTAGTACAATACTACAATATTAAATCAATTCAGATAAATTTGAAGTACACTGAATCTTTGCTTGAGTTTTGAAAACTAATACATCCTAACCAAGCTGGTATATTAAATTTCTATAAATGCAGGAACATAAAAATGATTTGTGTTTTGTTTGTTTGTTTTAAAAAAACAAAACAAAAAACAACTTCATTAGATCAAATATATTTCAAAGCATAAGAATTTACTGTATCTTCCTAGTCTCATATAGATATAAGAGTGCTGTATAGAGTTCCTGGGTCTATCATTAAAAAAAAGGTCAGAGTTTGAGAAGTGAATAGGGCTGTCTTGTCTGGTACTTTTTTTTTCAAAACACTAAAAATATTTATATCAGACAATTTAAAGTTTAAAAATAAAACTTTTCTCAGTAAAGATTAAATTAAAAATGAATTTTTTTTCATTCTATAATATAAAAATCAGAAAAATTTGAAATTCTATGGTGTCTACTTGCAATTAAAGAATAACACTTAATATATAAAGAAATAAATTTCTTACTGTTTAACTTTTTCATAATATACTTAGTTTTCTGAGTGATTGACAGGTTTTCAAGTCAAACAGGATATCTGTAGTAGCTAAATACTATTTATGGCCATTAGACTGAAAATTTTCAATTGAATATGAAACTTGTACTATAACTTTGTAAAAATAAAGATTAAGAATAATTTATTTAGAAGATGCATTTTGGAGAGTGTGTTAGTGACAAGAATGAATATTTAGAAAAGTTAAAAACATTGTATTAAGTAGATATAATTGTAAGATGACAAACACAAAAGTTGCAATAATACAATTTTCTAAAAAAATTTGGTAGATATATGTACTGTAACAGTTTTATCTTGACATTAAAATGTTTATTTTGTCTCATCAGTAATAGAAAGGAATGAGAGAAAAGCCATTTAATATTTTTTAAATTACATGAATGGTGTTGGCAATTTGTATTTGGTTGAGGGATAAAAAATATTCAAGAAATCATATTTAATGAAAAGGAATTGAAGTTAGAAATTTTATTATACATAAATTTTGTTTTAACCTGGTGTCCTGTTGGTTATTATGTTTCAGCTGTTGTCATCTGGCTTTTTTTTCAGGTGCTTTCTATATTTGGGGACCTTTTATTTATAACAGTTTCTTAAAAAAAATCATAAAACATTAAAATGCTCTACTTATGAGCTATAGCCATTGCAAAAAGGTAAGTAATAAAAAAAAAAAGTCAATGAGACATGTTCACAATAAAATTGATAAGGCAACAGTAAACATGGTAAATATTTCACCTGCCAAATGATTTTAGCCTGCATGTATCACCAACACATTTAAGGATTGTTTGCTGACTGGTAAAACCAAACAAATAAGAGAAAGTTGTTTTTTCTTTTTTATTTTAAAACAATTTGAATTTATTAACAGTTTATTTGATGGATTCATAATTGACACTTCGAGATGGTGCTGTGGAGAAGAAGTGTTGGCATTGTGTCATTAATCGCTTCAGAGCCTGAAAGGAAAGAACATCAATTAGAAAAGATCAATTAATGTTACAATGATGTAAACTATAAAAACACATTCTTCCACATCCCAAATTGGGAGTTTTTATAAGCAATACCTCTTTAAACATTATTTTTAGTGGATAAGGCCGAGGCAGTCGGATGTAATGATGGTTTCTCCTGCAAAGAGGAACACCGGTTTGAATCCTACTGGAAGGGACATCTTTCACTTCAAATATTCTTTTAAATATTCACACTAGTTTAAAAAAATAAAACTACTCAAATATGGGTATCCACTAAAAATAAAAAAGTGATAAAATCCATTAATTTAAAAATTGCTTTGTTTATATTTGGGTACAAAACTGAGCAGATATGAACTTTCAAGAATCTGGGAAGGATTTGCACTTATAAGGCTTTGCTTGATTGGCATTGTAACTTATGGCAGAAGCAGCCTGAAGTACATCAGATCTGATGACACTTTGTCCTCCAAAGGGTGATGCAGTTTTAAATCTCCTGGGAGGGTGCCTCTTTAGTAAGATTTCTCAAATATTCAGGCCAGTAAACTAAAATAAATATTCTATTTAAAAAAATAAATAAAATGGAGTATCTACTCAGATATGGGTATCCACTAATTGATAAAATATATTAGTTTAAAATTTATGGAAGTGGAGGAAGTAGAGTATTTGTACATATGGTGCATTTGGCAGAGGAGGTGTGTAGTCAACATTTGACAATTTTGCAGCAATAGGTGCTTAAAGGTTTTAGGCAGTTTTGATCAACATTTCTTTTCATGGTTAGCCATAAGGAATTGTAAATGTAGGAGTTTTACAGAAACATTGTTGACAATTATGTATTTAGATACATAACAAATAAAAATATAAATTTTGATGCTATATTAAATTTATTAGGTATTTTTCATTTTGTCTTGTTATTGGCAGCATTTTTGAAACCGTTGGCTGCAATGCTAAGTTTCCTACATTGAACAAACTGGAGCTATTTTGTTTACACTTTGTTACCTAAATTGAGCTTGAAATATTGCGTAATCAGCTCTAATATTTTGTAAAATACTTGGATGTGTTAATGAATAATTTGCAGTGAAAAAATTAATTTTCAATTTTTTGTTGAATACACTGCTCCTTTGCTGAACACGCTATATAGACTGTCATTTATATAGGTACATGACTAGTTATAATGTTAGCATTTAGGCTTGGGTTTGACTCACCAGATTTGAATTGTCAAGGTGGCAACTTGATAGGTTGGGGGGGGGAATGATCTTCTATTGAGAAGTGCTTGAAAACTATACCATAGGTTGAACCTTATGAGAGAAATTGGATAGACAAAACTGTTTAGAAATTGACTGGGCTAGCAAAAAGTGACAAATGATTAAGGGTTTAAACATACCAGCCTTGTTTGACTATTGATTGTGAATAAATGATAGTTTCTGGGAGGGAGCACACAAACTATTTAGTATAATTACCAATGTGCTTAAGCAGGTGTGTGCAACAGGAATTAGATAGTCAATCTAACTGATGAGTGTATTCAGAAATGAGCAGCCAGGCATTTTATATATGAGAATGCATGTGAACACACAGAAACTTGTTTAGAATTTGCAAATACGATCTGTTAAAGTCTGAAGTTTTCAAATTAAAGTGGGTGAAGTTACTGTATCTCATTTCCTGAGGAAAAAAAAGAAAACTAGAAACTACAGGATGGCTGATGAGTGTATCCGCCAAAACAAATTTAAAATATAGCAGTGTGTATAAAAAAAAAAAAATATCAAAATACTTAATCTTAAAACTTGTGAATTTTCTTTACACATAAGATTTGATATTATAGAAAACTTTATATTTGACACGTACTTGAATATATTTTCTTTGCGTCTCATCATTGAGTACATGGGCAACATATCGTGAAGAGATTTTTTCTCGTCCTGTACGTGCATGAATACCAACCATGGTGACACCAATCGGCCAGGGTGCATTGCCAATGGCCATCTCAAGATAAGCATCATTTGCCTGTAAGAGAATGTTTTCAAGCATCAAAATAGATGAGAACAAGTTTAAAAATAAAATTGGATCTAATATAATTGAAATTTAGGCATATATAATGGAGATAATTTTATGGCCTGCAAATTATAATTATATAATCATGTCTCCTAAATCTTGATTCAAAATCTGTTAAAATCGTTTCAATTATCCTATTTGTATATAGAAAATAATTTAAAATTCTAGTCTCAAAACTTAACAAAATTAATGATAAAAATTTTTTTTTAAATATTATAATTTAAGTTTTATAAATATACTAATTGTAAATATGAATTTACTTTTGATTTGAGAAATTTTACATTGACAATAGAACCTCATTTTTTGTGATTAAAAAAAAATCACATGCTCTACTTATGAGCTATAGCCATTGCAAAAGGGTAAGTAATAAAATGTTTTAATATTTTAGATTTGCCAATATAATATTTTTTTTACACATTTCATAGCATCTTGGTGTTATCTTGGGATATCAAGAACAAATTATTAGATATGGCCTTTTCTTCATGGTTGAAATAGTTGTGTAGAAGGGAACAGTTGTTTTCTAAAAAATGTATGATTAACCAAATGATTTTAATTTCTTAGCATAATCACTCAAAACAAAAAATACAAAAATGAAACTTTTTTTTTTTTGAAAATCACCAGCTTCTGTAGCTGATGAAAAAAAGTAATCAAAATTTATGTTAGTGCAGAAACAAACATGAGGAATTGAATGTGAAAAAGGGAAAAAATTCCTGTGTTTATTCAGCAATAAAAACAAGTGTTAGGAAGGTAGATGAGGTCAGCTAGGCTTTGTATCTGAACATATCAGATGCAAAGAGTTTAAAATTTTATTTTTAACACTTTCAGTGTTTCTCTTGATGTATAATTAACAAACATTTTTTATTGTGTTCCTCCCACTAAATATTTATGGACTCATCTATAAATGAAAACATTTAATCTGAAGAAGTCTTCAAATGACAAAAAGGGTAACAAGATTTTTTCCATCATTAGTTTAATATATAGATTTTATAAATCATATTTTTCTAAACATGATGGATGTCTGAAAAAGTACAAACATTTACTAATCCAATGTAAACATGCCAATAAAACTTATTTTTCTATGTAGATTGTAGCACTTGAGCTTGAAGTACCCTCCTTGCAACCACTATATGTAAAATCATTTTCCAAATAAAACTCATTTGAAAAGGTATAATATGAAACATCCATCATCAACCCCAATTCAGTATTTAGCAGTCAGCAAAGTAATGATGACCATTATGTTTTGGTCAGGTAGCATTGCAGATACTGAAATATTGGTTTGGTTTGGTTTATTGTTTTACAGCATATCAACCTCAATGGGTTATTTATTGCCGACAATATTTTTAGGATAGATTCGTATGAATAGAGTATGTATTCTTTGGTTTAGACTGATTTGGTTTATTTTGTTTTACGGCATATCAACTTCAATGTGTTATTTATTGCCGACAAAAACTTTTATTGCTAGTAATATTTTGTTTTGTCAAAAATCTTTCTGGTAATATATTTCCTTCAATATTGTATTGCTGGTAATAGTTAACTATTTGCCCATAGCTGGGACCCTAACAGGTGCTACCACCCCGGGTCAGGGTGGATCTGGGAACACCAGCAATTAAGAGGTGGTTCCACGCACCTCAAAACCTCCTGATCAGAGGCCTTGCTGCTGGACGTAGTTTAACATCTTACCCAGGACGATTGAAATATTGGATAGATTGAGATAAACTGTTCATGGAAAGAGACTTATGCATTTGCTATGTGTCCAAGGGTTGTAATACGACAAAGGATTCTTTTACTGAAATGGAATATCTTTGATTTCCATGAAGAATCAAATAAAACTCATCATCTGGTTAGTGTTTTACAACTTTTGTTTATTATAAGGAAATTGAATAGAGGCTTAGTTTTGCAACATTATCTTATGCTGATATGATACTGTAATGTAGTAATTGTGCTGTGTGTTCATTCAGTCTGCCTAACAAAGTGTCTCTTGCATGGTAGTCAGATGGATTGTTTTCTTGCAATCTCAAATTCTCAAGGTTCTTCCATTGTCTGAAAACCAGTTGCTCCTAATGCTGACAAGTGGCCTAAAACCTATGATTTGACCCTCCTATAATTCCATATAGAATTGGCTTAGGAAGAAATAAAAACTACCTTCATAAGTTGTTCAACTTACATTTTATCAAAGGAAATAATTATGTTAACCCCAGATTAAGTTGGAGGGGGATTGAATGAAATTTCATTATACTGGATTTACCCACTCTTGCTAAATTGAACATTCTCTTATAGGTTCTTATTAATATTTACTTCTCTCTAGTCTATTCACTTATCAATTTCTTAAAACTCAGTTTTAATCCTAAATTGACCTATAGTGACCTCTAGTCATCTCGAGTCAGCACCACCTATTCAATGTTCGTTCTCAAGTTATTTACTAAGCTTAGTTTAAGTATAAGGACACAAATACGAAGCACTCAGAATCAAACTTAGTAGTAAGGATCTGCAAGACCACCTTGTAAACTATTAAGTCACAATGAGGTATCCTCATCTTCAAGTTACCCTTGTAGACAGGTTTTCAGTCCACAGGGTTCATGCATTTTGTTGGCCTTAAGATGTATACAAGAAAGAATACGTTTGTGTGTTTTATAGTAACAAGGAAACAAAAAAATGTGACAGTGTGGAAAATTACCGGAAGGGTTGTGGTGGTGTATATGTCTGCAAGGCCCACGTCATTGGGTTGTTTTCCAATTTCTTTTCTATGAGGATTATTGAGAGTGGGATGCGATGATTGATTTGCTTAGGAGATCATGTTACACCAGAAGCACATTGTTTTTCATTTATCTTGTTTTTCTTTTTGGAATTTCTACTGTTGTTTTTTTATCATATTTTTTTTATTTTTACATACACAGAGCTGGGACTCTGGACAGTAAAATGGACTCAGGTACTGAATGACATACTGGTGGGTTGTGGGTAATAAATACTACCTATGATATCCTTGCCTCATGAAACAATGTTAAAATAAAGTGGCTTGTAACAAAAGTAATTAAGATATAGTGTTGGGCCTCTGGGGAGCAAACATGTCAATAATCCTGCCACTTGGGTGGGTTGGAGTGTCACAAATGTGCAAAATTCATGTATACATTCTCTGGTATATTAAAAGAAATAGTTTCCATGTAAATTTTTATAATTGTGAAGACATGTAACAATCTAGTCCTTAAAGTTTAATTAAAATCAAAACAATTCAACAATATTATGGAGGTCACCTCTGCATGGGACAGAAGATGTCAAGAGCAGACAACTCACTTTTATATAGTCTCTGTCCATCATGTTTTTCACAATATCAACCATACTCTCCAAAATGTCTTCTTCAACTTTCTGCAAATACAAAAGTAGAATCAGTCAAAAATTATACAAAACTGGAAGATTTGTGAAGATTCTACAGTTCATTACAAGAGTTGTTCAAGATTAAAGCTTTTCATTTTGAAAAAAATTTACAATCTGTACCACCCCAGGAATGCAGCTGGGGGAGGCAGAAATGATAAAGATTAAGAGTCAAGTAAAATATGAAAAGGAAGGTAATGAGAAAAACTGAAATACAGTTTGAACCAAGGATGGAGAAATAGAAGTCTCAGAAAAATTCAGATGATGCTTACAATAACTGTTAAAAAACAACAAGGATATTACAGCAAATTTATAGAACACAGACAATGAAAATAGACACGGGAGAATATAAAAATGATATCATACAGAACATCAGTTTACAAATGAGAACTGGTAAAGCAGGCAGTCCAGGAATGTCAAGTGTTGGGATTGTGGAGAGAATCACAATCGGTGTGGCTCTTACAAATAGTGAAGAATGGAGGACACAGGTTTTGAGAACTTTAAACAAGATCACTAAACAGATGGCTTACCCCTCACCCTTAATTGATGACATTCTAATGTTATTAGGGAAGGCTACTTGTTTTTCTACCCTTAACTTGAAGGCAGGATATTGTCAGTCTGCTTTGGATGAGGTAGATAAGTAAAATACTGTCTATTTGACATGTGGGGCGTTATGCACTTTATAATGCTGCAGGACGCCCTGGTCCCTGCTCTACATGACAATGCCATCCTGTCCTTGGTCACTGGTATGTCCTTGGCTGAATCTTGCAGACAACTGTGGAGTTGGTCACTTTGATCCAAGCCTCTCCCCGTCTCACATTGTTTTGATCACAAGGCAGGCAAGGATTGAATCATCGCCAGATATCACTAGATTGGTGTCGTTCAGGTAGGACAATGTAATGAAAAAAAAAAAAAAATCATGCCCAGTTCACAAAGCAAGCCTTTGCAATGAAAGCAACACTGGTCATCATTCTCACCAAAAAGGAGATGTTTTTGGGGACAGCCAGATCTGCTTAAAAGCAGGTCCCTTGCAAAAACCTTCAACAGTTGCCAGTCGTCAGGCCACCTGTTGACACGCAGGGTGCTGTCACCACTACCACTGACATGACCACTTCTCTCAACTCAACCATCACCTCACCCAAGCTTAACTTTTCATACATGGAAACCAACGGAGACAAGCTACAACATTGCCCGGCTCTCAACACACCAATTTGTAACATCATACATGGAATGAGGCAGACTATCCAGCTTTGACACTGCTAGGCTCCCAATGCCAGACCATTGTCATTTATAACATCTTAATGTCGACACCACCTAATTCCTTGGCACCAAAGCTGTCACCTTGGCATACCTGATCACTACAGTCATCACCACAACCCCATTTCATAGAAACAAAGGCCTAACAGCTACACCAATCCCTTGTCACCTTGGCAACCAATGCACCCTACCACGAGTTGACCCAACATTGTGTCCTCAATTGACCAACATGTGCATCAGACCCAACCAATGATATATCCTGTGACCTCAGTCATACCAACCCAAGAAATTGGTCAACTCCCAGCACTATCCTTACACCTAATCACCTTCCTGACGATCAGCAACTGAAATTTTCCAACAACACTGTAAGATACATTGTACAAATACATGTTTAAAAAACCTAGTCCTCATTATTCCTTTCATAACCAAATGCGTATTATAACATGTTTATAATATGGGACCAGATGCTAAGGAAAACAAGAAGGACTGTGAATGAATTAAAATAAGTGGAAATAGAAGAATGGGACCTACCTGAGGTGATAAAAAACAAAAACATGTTTGCCAAGCAACAGTGGCAGAACCACAAGCAGGTATAGAAGACAGTATATTGGTAGAGTTAGAGTTAACTCCCCTGAGGAAACTCTGGCATGGAAGAAGATCCAGAAGGAGTGAAGAGAGAGATACAGAAGTGGTAGAAAAGGTACTCTTGATAAGGAGTCTAAAAAATGCTAATAGACATAATGAACACATGGTCCATACAGAAAAGAATAAATGGGACAATTATAACATCCAATGCTTTGGAATTTCAAATAGGGTCAATTTATGTGAGAATAAATAGAGATAAATGGTTGTAAAAGGTTTTAGTGGACCTGGGATTCTTGGATTTTTTGGGAGAGTGCATGCTCCTGGGTGTGTGAGAGTGTTATGCTCAGCAGAATTTCCTTAGTTGTCTCAAGAGAGAAGTGACTGTATGACCCCATGAAGGAAGATGCATAGGATTCTGAAAAAACCCTCCAGATAATAGATCTCCTGTTGTCTTTACAGGAAACCTCACTATTTTACCTTGTGTTGGCCACAGCAGAAATTTTGAGATATACATGAAACACAATTTTCAAGAAGACCAGTGAGGTGACTAATCAGGTCAAAATGGATGATTACTTTTGTTATCAATATGAAACCCTATGAAATCTTTTTGAAAAAGTTGGGAGGCAAATTAACATGAGGACAAAGTACTAGTGAAAATACCCTGGCTTTGAAGATGGGAGATATTCCAGTTTGATTTTTTTTTTATTCTTAGACAAGAGAACATGATACTAATTAAACAGCATAAGGAAATGGGTGATTATTTAAAAGGAATGTAGTTATTATTCAAGAGAGGAATGAGCAGTAATGCCCATTGTAGGAAAGGCTTTAAATGTATTGTTTGGAACTGAATCTGAAGGTGATTTGAAGCTAATTAAATGAAGAGTGATCAGAAAAAGCTGGCATAAGTTGTAAGGGACAGCGTATCAATTTTGAGTAACTAGAATTGACTGGGCAAGAAACAGACAAAATATGAATTGGTTGATACATACCACACAAAATTTAGGATGGGAGCTAAGAAACTTAACTGAATATGTCAAAATACAATTAGGAAAGTTAGAAACATTTGTTGGACAATATTTGCCATTATTGGCAGTGAATAGTAGGTTACAACAGGCATCACAGCCCTTAATATTGTTGTTGGAGCATGTTTAGGCCCAGCTTGACATGTTATCGATAGGACATTTATCTCATCAAAGTACTGTGTCTCCTGAGCATTTAAGAGAACTGTTACTGAAAATTCAGGCAAAACTACCTAATTGATTAAGACTAACAGCTGATCCAGTGGGTTGACTATGGCATTATTATAGTTCATTGGGATGTGTTTCCTTAATAATGGGAAATAAATTATTTGTATTAATACCATTACAGAGAAAGAGTACCTCTGAAGTATACAAAATAATAAACTTATCTATTCACTATCCTGAAGTAGGTTGGAAGAGAGTAGTAGTTACCAGATACAAACTAGAAACAGAAAATATAGCCTTTAATGTGGCAAGGACCAAATGTATGCTGTTAACTTCTGAGGAAGACATTAACAGCATAAATTTAGGATGGATGTATTGGGAACATGTCCCTCAAAGAGCCCCATCTATGTAAATAGTGGTCATCAGTTAAGTGTACTGGGACTGTTTAAAGGAGATGTGGATGAAGTAAAGGCTAATTATCAGGTAGAAATAATGACTAGTGAAAGGCTGCCACAGACTTTGGCATTATCAGATGGAATATGGGCCATAGTGTTAGAAAGGAAATCGGAATTATCTTAGGTATATAAATGAGAACAGTTGGGAACAATAAAAGCAGAGACACTCCTAACTACCATTAGCCTGCTTCTGATATGATTTGGTCTTTGGGGAGAAGCTGGCATTATTGCTTTATTATCAGGCAGAAGAAAAATATGAGACTTGAGACTTTGTTTGTTCCTCACAGATGTATTGGCTAGTAATTGGACAGGGTTATCAGAACTATTAATTAAAGAATTCCCTAAAGTTGAGACTCCTTAAATTCCTAGGCTGTTGGGACCAGTGGAATGGGTAACCTGCTGTGATTAATGGATAATCTGAGAACCCTATCTGAAAAACATGCTGCCAATAACAGTTTCAGAACAAAGACAGTGGCCTGGCCCTTTGTGGTTGGAACAATTATAGTCATGATTGTGATAATTATAGTCGTAGTAATGATAAAGTGAAAAGAGATGTGAAGTTAAAACCGTAGGAAGAGAGACTTGTGGCTGCATGGTGACAAGGGGTGAGGGAGCAGTTGAAAATGATGGAGACTTCCTTAGGCACTGGAGAAGGAGAAACTATGAACATGCTTATAGAAGTTTTGACAAGTTTACCCATAGGAGAAAAGAAAGCAAGATTTAAGGCCATTGATGTTGAACTTTGAGTGAAAATACTTACTAGGCTTTGCATTGGCTTACATTTTGAGAAATTACATCTATAAACTTGTATAACTTGATTATCAATTATATTGCATAAAAATACAAACATTTTAAGGACAAGTGTAGCCAGCATGTACCCCACTGCTTATTAAGAAAAAAAATGCACTGTTGAGTGCACTGCCATAGAAAGCATTACACTGATGGGTGGTGTAGAGATATAACAGAGCGGATTCACTGGATCGATGTTTATTAGTGTACGTGAAAGATAAACAGTGATTTGAGGCAGGATTAAGTTGAAAATGGAAAACTTAGGGAAAGGTGAGAACAAGAACAAAGTAAAAATATGGATTTAAACCTATAAAATGAGATGAGGGCCCTGAGAGAATTGGAAACTGGGACAACTTAAACAAAAAGCAATAAAATTTAGAGGCACCTATGTGTATACACCTGCAAAGAGATGAATTGATAACAAATTTGTGCATTTTCAAAATTTACCCAGCTAGGATTATTTTGAAAAATTACATATTTCATTGCTAGAGTGATGGCCTACATTTCAGTCTGGTTTGGGCAGAGTCATTAAGCAAATGATTGTTTCCAACTAAGATTCAGTGACCCATCAATAATGGAAATGGGTAGATTCTTAATAAAACTTGACAGCTTTAGTTTGTTTTGTTCTGGCCTCTCATTAACTGCAGTCAAATTCCACACCATTGCTGCTAAGCTTCTGACAAGCACACAAGCAAAGAGCTTTTAGCAACAAGACCTGCAGAAAAGGGAGCAAGCTTCTTTTATAACAAACCTGTACTTGAGTTTGACAATGGTGTTAGTGATTTTCTTGAAGTTTTCTCTTACGTCTAATTTCTGTCAGAGCCCTTGATCCTGAAGGAAAGAGTTACCATAATACCATGGTTAATATTCAATTCTCCTCCGAGATATACGTTTTTGAAAGTCCTACCACTGGGTGGTACTGCTAGGAACATTATCATAAGAAACCTATACGTATATACAAGAATACAGTAGTGATTGGGGTCTATGAACCGTTATAGGGTATGTGGGATGACATGGATCTATGGATTAAGGGGAAATGAGCAGAAAAGTGAATAAAAACGTTGGGAAAATTTTGGTGACTTCAAGTATACTTTTGGTATTTTCAACCTAGGTGTATGTATTCGACTATATTCACATGTTACAATCATTCTGAGTTCTTGCAAGCATTAAATCTTATTGTTTTGGCTATCATGACATTTCAATTCCAAAAATCTGTGTTTCTAGCTACTACTTCCACTCTCATGTGCTACCAACTTTGACTGCAACTCTTTGTTATCCCTGATGGTTCACATCTGTTTTTAAATTTTCCCAACCAATGTTGTGCCAACACATTCTGATTTCAGAAATGTTAAATTTATTATTTTAGAATGCTAGGAGGGGCGATATGAGAAATTAATATATTTTCTGCTAAATGGTGGAGATAAATATATTTTTTGTTTCTTCACTAATTTTTGGCTGACACCTTCCATAGTGATAAATGTCTCACCCTTGGTGTTACCCAAAAGTAAACTTCTAGCAATGTAAACTCATAGTCTCGGTTACAAACCATTCTTGACACCCTCTCTAATCTTCATTTTTTTTTCAATATTTTCAAACTATTCTTTATTTGATTCATGTTTTAGTTTGCAATTTTCTTAATCTTCACTGCTGGAAGTCATCATTTGCAACTTTCATGCACCAATAAAGCTTCAAACATGGTTGCTACCTTATTACAGAAGTTTCACCTATGTATTTCACATGACTTGATAAACCTTTCAAAACGCATCAAAATTGTAAACAATTATATGAAATTATCACATCTTTTAGTTCTTTTTTTTTTCCATTTAGTCATTTTTAATGTAATTATTAAGTATGAATTTTGAAAATAAGATCACCAAAAGAATTTCATAAATATTCAGGCATACCCTTTGTTTGAGCTTTCTAAACAGTGGCTTCAAGTAAACAACAGTCTGCGTATGGGTAGCACTACTCATCTTGCCTTTCTCTGTCCTCTTTTGTTCTTCTGGTCGACTGTTCAGTTCTTCTCCCCACAACTTTAGTATATACTACAATAAACAACAGCAAAAAAGAAATTTTAGTAAAATGACTTAATTGTAACACACCAGGTTTGAAATAGCAATCAGAATAATAAAATCTCAATAGTGTTAGATAAGGCTGAAATTTGAACCAAAATTTAAACATGACTTAACCTTCATCACTCTGTATGCAACTTCATTTGGTGTACAAAAAGTTTATCCTGCTACTGAACAATAGTGTGTTTAAATTTGGTAGATGTGTTGTCATATCCTGCTATGGCAACAGAAAACAACTTTGAGTGAAACTAACAATAAGGATACTGCTACTGAGAAGCCTTGAAAAATAATGAGTAATAACAATTACCACTTGAAATTTTTTTTAAATCAATATATATTAAGTCCTACCAACTATCTCTCTGTAAGCAAAAGTGGTTGATGAGCTTAAAGGTAATTGGCCTTTAATTATATATTTTTTGCATATAACAGTCTGGAGTTGTATAATTTTTTTAGTCACTGTGCACATTTTTTTTGTCTTTGTTTGATATTTACTCTTATGAGAGAGGACTAATGTCTTGATTTGATTGCCAGGAACATCATTTAGTCTGTCCAACCATGGAACATTGTTCAGATGAAAATACTTTTGTCACATTATAGCATTCACAATAAACTGCACTAATCATTATTTGAGTCACATAAAAGAAGAAAGCCAAAAATGTTGCTTATTCTCTTCCCTTTTGAATGAATAAAAATCAATAAATAAAATTATGTCAATTCCAACAAAATCTTATTTTAATGCATTTGATAGGACAGCTGTTACAATATAATCAAAAGTGATATTTTTAAATGAACTAAATGCTCTTAATGTTATCGGATGATGAATATTAAAAAAAAAAAAAAAAAAAAAAACCAGAAAAATAAAGTAAATCAAAATACAGTTGGATGGAGTGTTGCAGGTAATAAACATTGGAGAAGGTGTTTATAGATCTTTGCTGAATAAAATAACAAATAATGATAGTGATTATAAATAATTATATTTTCAAAAGGTATTTGGAAAACTTGATTACTCTTAAGAAAAAAAAATCATTTTATTATAGGTGTTGTTTTTCCTCATGATATATATTTGTGAATTTGAGTTACAATTTCTCACTGGTTACTTACCTTGAGGAAACGTAGAACAATTTCTTGATCTCTATCACGATCGATTTCACCAAGTTCTTTTTTCATTTTCTGCAGAAAATTAATAAAGAAAGAAGTTAAGAGAAAATATGAGAGAAAAAACATTAAGCATAACAATTTCTTTGCCAATCTCACATAAGAGTTAAAATATGGAGGAATAAGTAGTGACAATCTTAACGATTTAAACAAAAAAACAGATTAGCAAGATGAAAACAATATGATTAGAATTAAAATATATAAGGAAGAATCAATAAGTCTGTAGCCTGACAGTTTGAATGGGAAAGGTCACACAAATGTACAAGCAAAAAAAAAAAAAAAAAAAAAAAATACATATTTTTAAAGTGTAGTTTTTATGCTTATTTTCACTTTACAAAAACTATAAAAATGTATATCTCTTTCTGATTATAAAAATAAAGAAAAAGGAGAAATTAAACAAATGTTAGGGTCCCAAATTTAATATTTTTTTTTTTACAGTATGATACTTCTTGAAGCATTCCATAAAAAATGGCAGTATACCTTCTTTGCAACAAGTTCACCATTTTTCACCTCTTTTCTCTTTGAAAAGTATGCACACAGATATTGCATTGTCTCTGGCTTGTTCTTCCAACTTTATTTGCAGAAAATACTCCAGAAAATGATATAACATCACGAATCCTAAAATTGCTAATTAGTTATTTAGACTCAAATCATATCTGCACTGTTGGAAAAAGTTTACATTATCAATTAATGATATCCACTGATGTTCAATGAAACATTAATTGATGTTTGTCATTTAAGGGTTAATATTCACAAATGATTTGACAACAAAGGAGATTATGTTGAAAAATAAATATTTGTTGTGTAAAATAAATTCTTTTTTATTATTATTATGGACTTAACAGATGAACCCATGTATATAACAATTATGAATAAATTAACCTCTGATTAGATTTAAAACTACAAATAAACCATAGTTTTTCAACATGCGTCATTTTGATATCTTAATCATTATGAGTGATCAGCAATTTTGTGAAGTAAAATAAAAGTTAATAAAAATCTAGTGAATAAAATACAATTTTTTTTTAATTTTCAGCAGTCAAAAATGTTGCTCCAAATGTGACAACAATGTAAAATATATGTCAACACGAGATAATAAATGACGAAAAAGAGTTTGAATACAAAGTTAATAAAAAGTTTAATGAATTTACTTCGATGTCTTCCAAAGTTGTGCCATCATCTTTGACAGAGACATCATTTGATTGGACTGCACCATCTGTAGTTTTAATAAGTTCATTCAGATATTCTTGGTCCACTTTGTCCAGAGCAGCCTTAAAATCATTTTGAAATCCTTGGCCCTGTAAAATATGAAAAGAATAAAAACATTAAACCATCCAAAATTTAAATTGTAACTGGAATGAAAAAGTAAAACCTATGTCTATTGTATTTGTAAATAAATGAGCATTTAGAATATCAAACTGTTGATAAAATTGAGAGATCTATGAAAATAGGATTTATCTACTTTCTAGATTATTCAATAATCAGTATTAATCAATTTTGTTTGTCAAGCAAACACTGAATATATAATAAAAAAAAATGAAAAACAACTAATATGAAAGTGAAAATATTGAAATCAATGAAATATTTAGCAAATAAAACTATGTTTCACTTTCACAAGACAATAATGTATTGTTATCCAGTCATAAATTTTTCATTTTAAACAAAATCATTTATCCATTTGTTGAGTGGTTCAAAGAATTTGCTTTTGTTTGCTTAAGAATTCATTGAATTTTCAAAGTACACAAAGCAGCTACTACAATCTTTCAATTAATTGAAGTTCAGAATGAAGAGGTAAGCTGGAAAATTCATTCAAAATTAAGAGAGAAGAGGGTGGAATAAACAGGCAGGCTAGAGAAAAGAATTGAAAATAAAATAAATTGAGGTCTGGAATAACTGGGTAGGTTGTGGAAAGAAAAATCAATATTTAAATAGTCAGGCAGACCCATCTATCCTGGATATACGAATAAATATTAAGAGTTGACTGACACCCCCAAACTAACAGACTGTATTAACAATGTTAACATTTATCAATACTTACTTGATTAGTATCATTCACCAAGTTTTTCACTACAAAGATGGGATTTTCTTTAAAAAATAGAAATCATAGGAGTAAATGTGATCAGTAAGAAAAGCCATATAACCCAACTTAGCATATATTTTGATAGTTTGGTTAATTATATCAGAAAATATATATTAGCCAATGTATTTATTTTGTATTCTATTGTAGAAGCTGACTTTATTTCAATGCACTTAATAGCAATTTATAGCTATGTAAAAACCAAGTCCACTGACTTTATATATGAGGTTTTGTCACCCATGATGCTAGTCATTCCATATTGAATGAATTAGAGTGCAATAGCTGTTTAAATCCTTTTGTGATTTAGTTAGAGTAAGTGAATTTTATATTCCTCAAGAGTTTTTTTCAAATGACTCACCTTATTTACATCAGGTTCCAGTGTTTCCAAGCGTTTTAATCTTTGATAAGATTCATAATCTGTCTCTCCAAACAGCCGTACAGGTTCACCTCTGTCTCTCAGTCGACGAATAACCTGTAAAACAAGACAACCAAAATGAATTGTTAATTGTACAATAGGAAACAGGAACATTTAGTTATAATTCAGTGACATATTAGACTTAAATCCACAAGATCTGTAATATGCATGGTTGATTGATACTTTTTCATCACAAGATGTAAACTTACAATTCAAAACTAGAGCAACTGAAGACGTTGATATTGACAACAAATAATGTTAATGAGTAATCAATGTTGTGAATTGAAATTATGTGCATATGAATAATTAATGAAGTTCATCATAAAAAAGGTATTTAAATTTTACTTAAATTAATTGAACACTTTTTGTTTCACTTATTTACAAAAAGAGGAGGGGGAAGAAACAGAAAAGAACATCCACAAAAGAAGGCAGATATATTCAACAATAAAAAATATTTAATAACATGAGATTTAGTGAAAGAAAATTGATCCAAGCAATGGAATATTTATGAAGCATTTACCCTTTAGCATTCAACATGCTTGTATCCACCCTGTAAATAACGGCTCTCAAAGGCCTACTGTTTTGTGACTTCCTGTGTTATTTGTGATGATGACGTTGTATATTATGGTAGAGTATACATGAGGCAGGTTACAGAAGGTGGAACATGAAGATCTGATATTTACAGGCCAGTTTGGATGTGTTCAATGCTAAAGGGTTAAAACTTGAACAAAAATAATGTAGCAAATATTATTGTAAATTCCTTTATAAAGAAATACATAGTAATAGAGAGAGATTTATTAGGAACAGGGACATTAAGAATGTGTGAATAAACATTCACTGCAATAAGTATATCTTTATAAAACAGATGATGTGTGTGTGTATGTATGCTATTTATGCACGTCCACATTTTTCATCCAATTTCGATGAAATTATACACACATATTGCAAATTTATCAAGATAAGTAAAGACCAACTTTTCAATCTCCAGCCTCCACCCCTGATTTCGGCAGAAAAATCAATAAAACTGAAGGTGGGTATGACTTTCAGCAAAAACCAAGGCAAAATTACACACAAACAAAATTTTTACTGGATGAGCTGATGTTCTTTGCACTTAATGCAAAACATAACTCTGTTAAAAGGTTTATGTAGATTGTGTGATAGTTTTCCTGTGATACTGGCTTCACACAAAAAATTGTGAAAAAAAATCAGGTTTTACCTACTAATTAAAATAAAAACTTTAATAACCTCCACAAATTTTTTTATCCAATTTTCTTAAAAAATGTTGCCATCATGCAAGAGATAAGATAGTGTGGTTTTAGTTCTGCTCGCTTCCCCATGTATAATAAAAACCACAAAAAACTGTTAAAAAATTCCGGTTTTTGACCATAATTCCCTGGTTTTTCATCCAATGCTTTCCAAATTTGCAATGTAAATTATATATGACACACAAATTGTCTTGCATGAATGTTTGGTTTAGATTGTTTTAGTTAAGTGGATAAAATCTGCGACTTCATATGATTCCATTCTAAATTGATATTCAAACAACCTTTAATGCAAAGATTGTTTGAGAAGGATTATTGAGGCGTTAAAAGGGAAAAATTCCCAAAGAACCTCTTATTAACCCCAGCTTTACAGTAAATGTGCAAAGAAGGAGGTGGAGGTGTTCATGTGTTTGCAATTGAAACAAGCTCTGATGCTTCATCCTTGCTTTTGTTTATTAGATTTGTGAACAATGCCACACTATTTTAAAGTTATTACAGCTATAGGAAATTTACTGAATATCTAAAATATTGAAACAATTTAATCCCCAACAACAACCACATAACGTTTTATTGATGGAATTCTTTTATTAAGAACAATCAAACACTTGTGAAGGACATACTGTAAAAAAAAAAGATGGGGGGGGGTAGCTTAGTATACCAACGGATGATGCATGCAAGCAGGGATGCAGGCAAACATTTCTAGACAGGGGCCTGCAGGTATACAAGGGGTGCAGTTATACAATTTCAACCATGAAATTGGTAAGTCAAAATGAATATGCTTATTCTGACAAAATGCAAAAACAAAAATCATCATCCCAAAGATATAAAAAAAAAAAAAAAAAAAAAAAAAAAAACTTTAATGAACAAGTATTCTGAAAATGATCAATAGAGAAAAATGTTGCAAGCAATGGCAAAAGCATTTACAATTATAATTAAATTAAAAGAAGAATATATTTAACTTCAAAACACAGGGTGTTTATTCCTCGAAAGCATGTTTAGTTAGTAACTTGTATAAGGATTATATAATTATTTTTAAATTGTCAAAAATTAGCAAAATTCAAAGCCACCACAATATATTTAAATAGATTTATACAGAGGATGGGAATATATCCATACATGTGAAAAAAGTGTTATCCTGCCCAGGAAAATTTATGCTATTAAAAATATTACTAATTGGTGTTATGGCAAAGAAAATGATTTTTGGCAAAAATTAGATTTGCAACATGGTTCAGTATTTTTTTTTCTTTTAAAATTTTCTGAAAGGACAAGAATTTACAAAATGTACAAACATTAATTTTTAATATAGTTTTTTGTTATATCAATTATCTCCTCAGATAAACAAATAAATGGAACATAATGTCATGTAAACTGAGGACTTTAATTGAATTTCAAATGAATTCACTTAAAATCCAGTCCCTGAGAAATAAGTACATAATGGGGAGATAGGTAAGAGTGGTTAGAGAGGGAGAGAGCTATTCTCATTCCAACATTTCTTTTATTAAAACTTTAAAAAAATAAGTGTAACTTACATCTTTCCGAAGCAGCTGTATTTCTTCTTTCTTGAAGTTTTCTGGCTCTGAATTGAGCACCTCAACTTTTTCTTCACACTTAAAAAAAAAATTGTAGAATTAACAAGAGATAATAAGATAGAAATCATTAGTTCCATTTTATGTAAAAATAAACCAATCTTTCAAAATAAATATCACAATACATTACTATAACTGACTGAGTTTTATAAATAAGGTTGAAAGAAAAAATGTTTAATAATAAAAAATAAATTGTTTGACTACTTTAATTTTGTAACTAGTAACTCTTTACTGATATACATCCAATGTTTTTTTTTGTTCTATGATAAATCATCACTGAAATAAAATTCTATAACACAAGATAGTGTTCATGTGTACAGAATTATTCAAAATTAACAGTATGAAGGAGGTCAAACTCCTTGGAATTGATCCCTCACCTGGTAAGGGAGGACAGGAGCGACAGGTGTCAACAGACTGTCAATCCAGTGACTATTCACCTCAAGCAAAAATAGTTCAATGAAATGGAATGTCTGAACACTGTGACACTAAGCCGTTGGCCCGTAGTCAACTTCCAGTCATGGCGCGAAGCTGTAAGGTTTCTTCTACCGGCATTTTGGGGTTGACTCTTTGTCGTTGCCACCAGCCTGTGTCCTGGTCATTCGGTGGTCACCAATACTCAGCGAAATCCCCTGGTCAGGATACCAATATGTGACACTCAGCCGTCCAGGCTCAAATCCAGTGGTCACGGTACCAATATGTGGCACCACATTTGAATTCTGGTCGTCGATGTTAATGGCTTCACCAGCTATACCGGTTCAATACCAACTATCACTCCCAGCTCACTTGCAACGTCTGGTTACTGGAGTAACTGCTTCGATCTAAAGTCTAACCTGCCCACGTTGTGACTGATCTTAGGTAGACGAGATCATTCAGGCGTCGGGCCGTAGAGCAAGCCGAGTCCAAATTGAAGGTGGCAAAACACAAGCGCAAAGAAAAAAAAAATAAATAAAAGATAAACCCAAGAGGTTCAAGTATGTTAGGAAATAACAATTTAACTTTATCCTTTTGTTATATACAGAAGCATGTTTTTCTCCCAGCCTGTTTCCTATGAAATGTGACACTTCTGTTTCAAGCAAGTTGGTCCTCTAAGTCAACAGGTTTAGTTTTTAAGTGCTGGCTTAACTCCGTTCGTCAGTATAACTTGCTATGGGTAGGTTAGGCGAAGTCGGAGGTCATGAAATCTCTCGGTCAGTTTCTGCGAGGCAACACTCTGGTTCCCTCCACTTGAACTGTCTCTGTCCGGAGCGGAACTGCAACTTTACTCAACTCCTCTCAACTGCCGAACGACCCATCGTCGATTACTGGTTCAAAATGTAGATACTTGTCCTACTTTTCTTCTCATCCATTCACCTCTGCCTATCACCATGCTACCATATGACCAATTATCTCTCGGCAGTGTGGTGTGGCTAAGCTGGCCTTCTTAAAATTATAATTTAGAATTTTTGTTTACAAAATTTTCCTTTCCCATCGGCCAAAATTCTTACCAACCCCCACATTGCCAATTAAATTTTTATCATATCTTCCCCTTTTCCTGGGCCACCCAAAAGTCACTTAGCCAGCACTCTTACCGTCTCATTAATCACTGTCAAAGTTTACCATCTGGTCTTTTATGTTAAGTTAGCTTTATAAAATCTTGACTTGTTAAAAAATTAAATTCTTTATTCTCGCCAAATCTCAATTCTCCACTCTAATTTCTGGGTATTGCCAAAAGTTTACAATCGCCACATTGCTATTCGACGTCTTAGCGTCTGTTGGCAAAGTAAATGATAACAATCCTCTCACCTATATTGAGACAATGCCAAAATTTTATAATTGCCACATTGCTTCCCTTCGCCTGTATCCAAGAAAAAAAAAAACAAAAAAAACAACAATATCTTGGAAAGATAACTAACATTGATTTTCCCTGCATGTATCAGCATTCGTCTCCAGCCAAAATTTTTATGACCGGCACATGTTTTGGCCGATAATTCCATATTTGCCTTTCCTTCTATCTCCCTCAGCAAGACATAAATTAACTCAACAGGACAAGACCTCACACGTGGCTTCTTCCCGGGTTCACAGTCTTTTGTGAAAAGTATCTTTTTTTTCATAAATAGAATTAAGATCTTTTTTTCTTTTTCATCAATCATTCTGTCTTTTGAGATAGCTCTTTTTTCCACTTTAAAAAGGTCTATTTTCTGTTTTAATTTCTATGATTAATTATTTAGCCAATTACCATAGCTAAATAGTGTCACAACACTAAATCAATGTAGCCAGTTAGAAATTATAAAGTGGGAAATGAATAGGTTAAAAACATCAATATTTTAGGTGTATGCAAAACTTGGTGGGAAAACAAAGAATTGATCATTGACAAAAAAATGGAAGGGAAGCAGGACTCATATTAGATTAGTGATTTTCAACTGGTGTGCTTTGGCACACGTGTATACCATGAAATGGTTGTAGGTGTACTCTGAAAATTTTTGAAGGTTATTAAATTATTTTCAAAAGAAGTCCAAAGCACAATAAGTGCACATATCAAAATTAAAATTCCTTTATATATAGATTATACAAGAATATAATTGTTAAAATAAATAAACATATATATAAATATGTAAAGTGGGTGAATCCAGACATGGCCATTTGTCCAAAAACTTAGTGGAATATTTCAAATGACTTGCACTCAGTAATACTAACTAAGCAAAAATATGAACCCAATATGCAACAATATCAGATAAAGCACAAGTAGCGAGTTAAACAGTTGCAGAAATTGTAGCTAGGAAAAAAAAAAAAAAACTCATACAATTGCAGAATTCATTATTTTACCAGCTTGCTGTGCAATTGTAAAAACAATGTTTGGAGAAGAATATGAAAAGGATTTTTTTAAAAATTCACTCTCAGGTCATACAATTTCCCAGTGTATTAAGGAATTATCTGAAAATATAGAATTTCAAATAATATCTCAACTCAAAGAAGTAAACATGTTTGTAATTCATTTGGATGAATCTACTGATATCAGTGGTAAACCACAATTTTTAGCATTTAGTAGTTTAGCTTGTAAAGAAGAAATCATAGAACAGTTTTTATTTTGTTGACCAAAGGGTCAAGATATTTTTGATTTGACCATAATTACTTCAATTTAATAACTTGTCTTGGAGTTCCTGCATAAGTATTTGTATGGATGGAGCCTCTTCTATGCTTGCAAGTGTAGAAGATATTGTTAAAAAAAAAAATAGTCTACCTCAGATATCTCATTAAATGTTAAATTATATTAAACAGAAAAATAAGTTTAAATTTGTTTTAAGAATTTTAATTATTATCTTTTTATTACAATTTATAATAAATTGTTTTTTTTTGTGTTAATAAATAAATTATAAAAAGTATAACTCTTGTTTGATCATCATAATTTAAATGTGTTGCAGAAGTTTAACTGTAAGGGTGCTGTGAGATAAAAAAAAAAAAAAAAAGTTGAAAAACATTGTATTAGACCAAAACCCAAAGAAATGTGTTCTGCATTACTATCAACTATCTAAGAGAATTCTTGTAGTTAAACTGAAACATAGTTGCATATGCAACAGCACAAAGTATGGAAAAAGAAATTGAAAAGGTTATACTATATGATAGTATAACTATGACTAGGCTCAATGCAAATTGCAGGAAATTACAATTGTCATGAGTGACCTGAATGCCAAAGTAGGGAAGGTGAAAGGTGGTGAAATATTTGGCAAATTTTAACTAGGAACTTGTAATGAATGTGGAGAAAAATGGGTCCAATGATACATGGTGAATGATCAGGTAGGAAGCAACATCTGGTTTCAAGAATACCCAAGATGTATTTGGACAAGGAGAAGCCCAGGAGGAGAAACTAAGAACCAAGTCTACTACATAACAATCAATAAGAGATTCAATGCAGTTTTACACTGCAAAACATACCCACCATGTGCCAACTGCAGGAGCAACTATCTTTCAGTGATATGTAAACTTAGAGTGAAGCTATGGAAATTGAAGGAACTAAATGAGAATCAAAATTCAAAGTGAGACATTAAGAGAAGCTTTACTAACATCTACAAACAAATATATCTAATTTTACATATATTCACTACATAGAAACATGATTTTATTTGTAGAAAACAGAGACTTTCATATCTGGAAATATACACATCTTAAAAGTGAAATTAAAAATCATTTGAATTATTCTTAATATCTAATTTAGGTGCCAAGATAAGAAAAACAAATTTATTTATATGAAAAAAAAAAAAAAAAAATCTTTATTCATTTTTCTTGTTTACAACAACTTTATTTTGTGATTGGCATAATGGCTACCTAGAAAACCCTTACAAAAAATCCAGCTTCATAAAATTTACCATTCATTAAGACGAAACTGGCAACTATTTGTTTAAAATTTTTACTTGCTTTTTGTTGTTAACTTAATTTTACAACAAAAAGTTTTTTTTTTTGAAAACTGAAACAAATAGATCTCCAGACTTCATGTCGTATTTGCTTCTTTTTCTTCTTCATTTCTTTTGTAAACAAATGGATTTCACAATTCCTAAAACTAGTCAATTAAAATAACATTTTTGCTCAATCTTTTTCTCTTACAATGGTATAAATGTTGATAAAATTTAATTTTATTAACATCTGAAAGTCTTTTTTCAATAGTATTTCTTTGGATATGGTTTTAGTAACTCTTTTTTTACTTTCAAACATTTCTTGAAATCTGATTGGTTATTAAATGCACAGTAAGTGTCTAGAAACTTTCATCGCAAGTCAGTTGATTTTTGTGCAAAAGTAGGCTTAACCTACTTGAAAAAACTTTCTCTAATTTACCCCTAACTTGAATGTCTCATACAATTCTATTGGTTAAAAACAGAAAAATATGGTCTTGCCCACGCATTTCTTTGAATTAGTACAGCATCTACTGAATTTCCCGTGAGCCAGTTTAATTATCGAAAAAGCTATGAATACAAACAACAATCAAGTTTCTACGTACAGAGATATACAGATACTCAGAAAGACGCCAAGAGAGAACTTAATTTTATGCTGAT